ACATCATTTTCATGTGTCATCAATGCAAAATATGTGTCTTGTGTTTCTGTCATAAGTGGATATTATATGTTGATTTGTGAATTAGGTAATAATCGAATATATCTTGAAATAATATGGGTTGGTCATCAATCGGCAGATTACTCTCGAGACTGCTGGTTGAGCCAGCATTGATATAAGAATGAAAATCCCCTTGGGTGAAGTATTAGAACAAGCAGTTTCCAGATGCCTATACTAAGTAATTGTGAGTCTGTGAATCAAATATCTGTGGACATTTTGGACAAATGGATCCTAGCACAGTTGCTGAATGACATATTTTCTGCTCGATCCTCTGTCAAGTTGTAGAAATGGATGAAATGCTGAAGTCTCACAAGTCAGAGTAGAATAACTACCCAGTTCTGGATGATTTTTGACGATTTATACACTGAGATGATGTTAACCTAATATTATAACAAATTTTCCCCGCTATACTTTCATGTTTCATTCAGCCCATTCGTTATGTAGCTATCGCATACTTCACATGTCAACTTAGTACGTGGAATAAAGATATTATTGTCCTCTTATCAGTTGTAAATTTGTCTTTGTGGAATGTGTAGTAATAACAGAACTCGCATAATTTCACAACACATGTCCACTAAATGACGGACAGTAAATGTAGACTAAAATAACTTCACGATTGTTGTTTCATTTTTACTGACTAATTCAAATATACATTTCTAATATAATTTCTGTGACTTTCAGTAAGTTACACTGATATTTTCATCAATTGCTTCACACGATGTGAATTATTATTATTGTCCCTTGGGTTCCTAGTGGAACAGAGGGCTTCAACTGCACGTCTCCACTTGCTTCTGTCTTTTGCTGTACTTTTCACCTGCATCCATGTTAGTCCATACTCTTTCAACTCCTCTTCACACGATCTCCTCAGTGTCACCCTTGGAGGTCCCACTCGCCTCTTCCCTTTCGGGTTCCATTCGAGGGCCTGACGCGGATGTTACTCAGTGGCCTTCTCAGTGAGCGTCAAATCCATCTCCACTTTGTCCAGCATACTTGTTGGGCGACTGAATCTTGTTTTTTTGTTCCTTTCCATAGCTTCTTGTTGGTGATTCTTTCCGGCTCGGCCATCTGATTTTTAGTATAGAGCGAAGACAGTTTTTGGTTGATGAAGGTCAGCAACAGGCTGTTGGAAATATTCTTTGTGACCCGCCCGCCAAGAAGAGCTGATTTGACGTTTGTATTGAAAATCCGACTGAATTTTGTTGTTGATGCTGAGTAACGAAGATTTCCAGATTGGTTTCAGGTTGATGAATGTGTTTCTCGCCTTCCCGATTCTCTCTCGATTTGACATCCTCGTCCGATGTGAATAGAAAGGGATTATTTCTACAAATTCATACTAATAACCTCATAATACTTGAAAGATAGTGAGTTGGAATCAGTGATCACCGATCATAATCTGCATTCATCATCTTACAAGCATTAGTAGAACACATGCAAATAACCACTTACTCGAAAGACAAAGCCCAGAAACAATAAAGATTGTAGTGTCGACTATTTATACTCTCATAGTTCATGTGTTTATGAATTATATTTAACCTCTGGTCAATTGATTGAAATGTTCACTCACAGAAATGTTGAAGCAATCTTACAATCTGACATTACTTTAATAACTACTGTCATAAGTACATTAAGCACTAAGGATTTATTGAATTTAGACATAAAACATACCAACCTAATTTGGCAGTTTACTTGGGTTTACAAAAGAACTATTCCCGTTCTGTTTCAGAGAACTCCCCAACCAAAAGTATTCTGTTTTCCCGCAGTTAATTATAACAAGATTCTTTTCAACAATATGTCTTCATCAACACACATTAGGGGAAGGGGCTGATAAATGTAATTTTCAATTAGGGGTTACCTGTTTATCACCTAAATATCTTTTGAAGTTATTTTTCATTGAATAAAGTCAAGTAGATAAGACATACATACAGACCTTTGACAGATTCTTTTAATTGATACATGAATAGGTGAAAAACTCAGCTACAATGACTATACTGCCTATGTTATTCTCATTTCAAAGCTATTTAATTTAATTTCCATTTATTTTATTACCACTCTGTTACTGTTTATTAATAACATTACTTTTTCATTCAGATTTTATATAAAAACCAATGGTCACCATTCCACTAGTTCCTGTCTATTCTACACAAGCTTATTGATTATTCATCATCTCACACTTATTATGTCATGCCAAATTCTGGCTCTTTTCTAACTTACAATAAATCATCCCTTTTAGGTTACACCTTGCATTACGCAGTACATTTTCCAAGGACAAAGTTTACCAGTATCTGACTGGTCTAAATATTTCTTCGTGAAATATAATTGCGATTGTACAGCTCATGGAAATGAATCATCGAAAGAAAATTTGCATCCCTGTTTACGCCTTTTTCTTATAATTTCTATTTCCTTTACACATCATCTTATCAGCACTTTTACTCAGATATTAATTAGTTAATTACTCTGTACTTTCGCTTCCAGAAATCTCTCATCCAGAAACTACCCGACTCGCTGTTTCAGTGAGCTTGTCTATCTCTGAATTTAACTTTACTTTCATATTTTCTTATCCAGAGACCCAGTATCATCGAACTATTGTTTGAAATCTTGAGATCACTATTCAATACTCATCTGAACAGCTAGCAAACTTTATTCAGAGTAAGATTAAGACAGCTGTTTCTGTCACTAAAACATCATAAGGCATCCAGTCTACATAGAATGTCTTGTTAATGACGGTAAAACTTTAGTCAGACAATTAGTTAGATTATCTGTAGAGATTTGGTTGTATGGAGGTGTTACGTCACTCCGATATGTTTCCATAATTATGCCTACCTTTGAAAGGGGTAGATGCAATGGGCGTGATAATCATCGATTGATAAGTCTATAACCAATCAGATAACAAGAATAAGGCTGATGTCATACCTAAATAACTTTGTAATCTTCTCGGAAAAGTAAGTTTATAGGGAGAGAGTTTGACTTTAATGGTTGTTGGATGGATTGATCACATATTTACACTGCACCAGTTTTATGCACGTGGTGACACTCTTTAGTCTCACTTGCAGTTAGTTGCATGAATTTGGCTGTAATTGTGACGATGAAGATTTTTTTTCGAATGTCTACAGTCAAAAAGTATCGGAATGCTATTTAGGTCATGAAATTTCGTATTTGCAACACTTGGGTACATATAATTCTGCTTCCTTTCTCAGTAAGTCTAAGTCTTAGATTGTCTCCTGTTATACTGCATTGCCTGAATCCATTAGAGAAACCAAATAAAAATTTTGATAGAGCGTGTTAAAAGTAGGTAGGCGATTATACCCTTGTTTTTCTGTCTTCTATTAGAAACTCTACATCATTAACTTCCTAACTGTTCTCTTGTTCTTGTTACTGAAACCAGTCCAAAGAAGGCGATATGTACTCAGTCTGTATGGTACGGTAGTGTGAATTATCCGACATCTAATGACACGCCATGAAAATCTGCATGAAATCTAGGCGACCTTAATACTTCAGATATTTTTACGAGTTGATAACTGATTGTTATTATTTAGAGAGCCATTGAAAACCAGAGAGTACTTGACAGATGTTTAATCCTAGTTCGGGAATCATCGACAGTACGCATTCTCTGGGGTTCAAACAATCCGTGATCAGTTCGTAAAAACAAATCTAATCCTTGCAAACCAACTATTGAAAATTAATCTGATGCTCGCTAGTGACTTGCTACAGGACGGAGTTTCCTGGAGTTCTACTGAGAAGTCTTGACCAGTGAGGTTTAACCAGTCAAGTGTGAGGATGGATTTTTCACTGATGACACGGGTTGCTGGTCGCGCTAAATCACGAATAGGTAGAAGTTAGAGTTCATGTGTTGCCCAGCGAGTCGTATCCCAATGGTTGAATGGTATATGAACTTACCTAGTAACCGGAAGGTCCTTGGTTCGAGTCCGGTGGGTGCGTACCGCCAATGATTCCCAAAAAACTAGGATGAAACAGTTGTCCAGTACTCTCTGGTTTTCAGCGGTTCTCTGACTGATAACAATCCGTGATCCACTCGTAAAAACGAATCTAATCTTTACAAACCAACTATTGAAAACTATCAGATATTGTTTTGAAGTAGACGAAGAAACAGTTATTTGTTGGTTTTTCCATTTTCCACCGTAATTAACGTGATGAAAAGTCACATTTTCAAGCTGTACCGTCTAATCGTTTTCTGTTATTCCGTATATCTTTTTCTTCCCCCATTGTTTTCACACTAGTGAGTGTGGTATGTTACTGAGTCCCCAAGTTATTCAAAGTTTATATGGCATTAGAACCATGTCACCATCATGCATCAACGTTTTTTTTACACAAGCAATTCCAGGTTATGTATCACTGCTCACCCAAACAAAACATGATAGACACATCAGCATTATTCATTTCTGCATTCACCTCGTATGAACATCTTTTCCGGAAGGCTTCAGTTGAAACATAAAAATTTAAGATAGTAATGAGTCCACCTCTACTTAATTTCAAAAAAATTTAGCATCTGAGTTATAACCAGTTAATGAAAAACCATAAAGTCTCCATTCGAATGAGAACTTTACACTGGACCATCACATCTCATACATTCCAATGATGAAAAGCAGAAATTAAAATTTTTAACAGCAGAACATATGGGAATAAATCTACCCAAACAACACACTGTTGGAAGTCAGGAGTACACACGAACTCAATACTACAGAATATCTTGAATTTGTGCTTACTGACAGGTGATTGTAAATTGAATGTTGCCAACTAGAAAGACTGAGAGACTTGTCATCGTGATCTTATGATCACATGTCGTGATCATTCGGAAGCGCAGTGAGAGTGATATTGATATCGGTGTCAGGTCATCAAATGACAAGTTAACCGTAGGTGTAATTGACAGTTTTCACTTGACCGGAATTCTGACAGTTAAATCTAAGATATAAAACCCACAATAGTTGAATGCCTTCTTCATTACCCTTTTGTGAAGTAAGTTTATTATATATTAAAGGGATGAGGCAAGTGTTCGTGCCTCTAAATTTATGTTAATCGTTATGCATAGTGGTTTAGCAGGAAGTTTCTAACCAGTAAATTTTGTGCTGTAAGTTGACGTCGCACTTCATTAGTATCACACACTTATTGCCTAAGTTTACTAATATTCCGAAATGAATAGATTGAAAAAAAGTTGACTCCCATTGACCCTGATGCTTAATCCCACTGATTCTCATTTCAGAAGAAGGAGAAATGGCCCACTTTTCGACTACAAGTTTCATCATGGTAACCTTGTTGATGCTGAATCTGGTGGAGATCAGTCCTTATGTTCTACAAGCTGAAATGAAATTCGATGATAAAGGTGAGTATTTTACTATGAGTACCTTTAGCACTCCTCTCTTCAATACTCTCTGGATAAGCCTTATACATAGTTTAGTTATTCACGCACAGGTCTTTTGTTGTTGTACATATGTATACATGTATACCTCCCTAGCGCTGTAAATGTCACTCTCTCGTGTTACATGATTCATGTATGTAAGAATGTCACCGAATCATTAGAGACTAACTATCATAATTCTCAATAGAGTGTCTTCAGCACACTTTCTAGCGACATCATCCCCTTGCTTGTCTACATTATAATAATGAGATGTCAGAAATATGTAGTGTACATTATACCAGTCAAATATGGACGCCCCTTGAACTATTCACAATACAGATCGCATACTAATTTGCATATCATGAATTTGATTTATGGTATTGCCAGTCAACCCAAGATGCTAGCCAGAAATCAAGTGGTTTGAAGTGATTCATCTTTCTGAGTTGAGCTGAACCGGATAAAACTCCGATGAGCTTAACTCTAAACGAGCTAAACGGCCATTCCGTGTTTAGATCACCTCTATCTGACCAGGAAGTGCTACTGGTTGGTATGATTGGTATGCAAGTACTCATCTTAGTCAATTAGTAGTATGTACAGTTTCATTCAAATAGAGACTGTTTCTGCCTCACATTGTTCGTTGCGTATAGGCTGACTAAGTTCAGTTTTCACCGTTGATAAATACAAACTATTTATAATAAGTATGTTTATTTGATGACTGTAGCCTAGTGGGAGCTGAAGTAGTTGCAACACTACAATCCACCATACGGATAAGCAATTAGATAGATACTCAACACGGTTCATGTCTCACATTGACTTAAAAGTGCTGATCACAGACTGTCCATTTGATATATAGTTCAATACAGTGAACATAACGAAGCGTTATCACAGAAATGAGGGGTCATCCTAACGGTTTTATATTGTTGTATTATTTGGTTAAAGTAAAAGAAGTGGTCATTGTCAACTTGATCATAACAAATCGGTACATGAATACCCGAAATATCAAAAATCATGATATCCCTGCAACTGAACTATTCAAAAACTCCTGTGCTTAAATTATCCAGAATACTCTAGATGACAGACAATTCAATGCAACGTATAATAAGTATAATGTCTTACAACCACACTCACTGTCTGTCTCTTCCTGTCTCTCTCTCCCTTTAGGTAATCGATATGTCAAAACTGACACAACATTCTACGGACTGGATAAGAATCATACACTGACAATCAAGGTGGACGATTGTGTAATCACATTGGATTTCTCTCCTCCTAAGAAATCTGAGATCAAGGAGAAGAAGGGTACTCGAAAGGTTACAGTGTAAGTGTATGGCATTCTTCATAATCACAAATATGTGCATGGCATATACTTGGAGCACATGCTAAAGTTGAATGTGTGTAGTTGACTGTGATGATGATGGGATGTGTTGTTTACCTGGTGATGACTCATTTAGTATATATATATATATACGTATATATACATATATATATACATATATATATATATGTAACCTTCTCACGAAGCCTGGTAGTAACTGCTGCTGAAAATAATCCGCTCTACTTTCATGAAGTGTATCTTCAGCACTAATATAAGTTTAACTTTGAGAGTTCAATGATAATTTAACATACATTGTGTAACTTATTACTTGGTAAGATAATTTATCAAAATGTAAGTAATTTGAGAAGGCAAGTTGATTTAATGCTACGATTCCACCTCCTAACCACTACCCACTAATACTATTGAAATGGTTTCCTCATTCCGAGAGCAATTCTTTGCTGGATGTTTTATGATATAACTTATTGATATCATTTCCAACTTAAGCTGAGAATATTAATATTGATGCTCTATGCTCGTAGGTAAGAAATTGAAATTAGGCAGTTTCTCAAATAAGTTTGTCCTTGAGCCTCAGGGACTAGTGTCAATAAGCGGGAAATATAAACTTAACAAGATGTTTTGATTTCTCCAACGAAAATAGAAAAGTACTGGTCACCATTCACATTGTAGCCAGATATTATAGCTTTCATCAAACCTGACAATTTAAAATACAATATGATTCTACTCGATAAGGGGATTTTGGTGAAATTAATTTTTCGTTTTGTTTTTTATACCTCAACAGAACTAAAGGATGTGACAAGATATTTAAGAAATCTGATGAACTGAAAAAGGCTAAGAATTAAACATGTCGTTGTGGAGAATATAGTGGTTGGATATCAAAACGAAAATGCATTGTTATATTAACTGCTAATCCAATCACTCACACTATGAATACACCTCGTTCAGTAATGAAAGGATTTCTCTTTTGAAAATTTTCGACGCTATCATGACTGATTACATACCTTAACAAAACATAAACACGCTGCACTTTCATTAGCTTCGAAGTGGATGAATTCCTCACCAGCATTCTGAAGTAAATAATCATATTGTAACAACAGAAGACAAGGGCCAGGCAACAGATCGCTTATTAAGGAAATCAACACGTATTTATATATTTCCATGTACATTATTAGAGGTTATTCAAGCAAACAAACGCAGTCTTCTGATTGGTTGTTTCTCCCAGAAAGTTGACCCTGCATCTCCTTGTGACTGTTTCTTGAATGTCAGGCCACCTATATGTTAACTGTATCTGCCTGTGCCAAGTCTGCTCTGATTGGTTATTGAGTTCATATTTTCTCACGACCAATATTTGCCACACAAAAATTGACGTAAATAATTGTCTACCAATTTGGCTAGCAGCCCGCTCTCACCACAATATGACCGACTGTCCAAGATGCCACTGAGGAACAACAAAGTCATAAAAATTGGTTATGATAACTGCGTTGTGCCTGAATACGCTGAATAAAGATAAGCCTAGACAGCAACCAGAAGGTTTAAACTTATTTCTTGAGGATATTCCGTTTGCACAATAGATACTTAAATCTATCTAAGAAATCAGGAACATTTAATGATTGGTTTGTAGGGATTTGACTTCAGGATTTCACCATGAGCTGAGTCTCAAACTAGGAAGAAACAGCCGTCCAGTACTTCCAGGTTTTCCAATGACTCTCTAACCAATGCCAGCTCATGATGAAATCCCGCAACAGATCAGAATTAATAATTCCTGTGATTACTTTCAAAAGGGTAAATCAAATGTCCCGGTGGACCTTGCTCAGTTCTGGCCTCAGTTTGATTACGTTTCCTGATAGTATCAGTTTATCGTTACCAAGCGTGTTTGAAGTCAGACCAACTGGTAACCGGAGTTCTCTCCGGGTAATCATATAATGAGGCGTTTGCAGTGTAGCTTTCTGAATAACAACTCTGTTCTATCCCATTCCCAAACATCACTTTGGTTTACAGATACCTGGAAAAGTGATTTCGCTATCCGATTTCCTTGTGGGTGGCATGCAGTAGCGCATATTTCCAGGTGAACATTATGCTACAGAGTTCTTCGACAACGGCACTTTAAAAGTTAGACCATCAGTTTGAGTAAAACTGAAGTGCTCCCGTCTCCCCAGAGGCTGGTTGAAAATTTATTCCGCGACAGTTAAAACGTCAATCTAGGGGACAACGATAGCCTGGCACCATTTGGTGAGATGATGTACAACAAATAGTATAAAGTTTCCACTTCTAAATTTTACTGGGAGAGGGCCAACTGAATCTACTGTACTAAGTCATTTGGATGGCCAGTTGTTATAGGTTGTAGTTACATTGTGTTATATCTGTATGGAGACCTAATAGTTTGTCATCCAATATCCAATATCGTTTTTACGAGCTAGTATAAACCAATTTGATTTCTTTTTGCTCGCTTCTTGATTGTAAGGTATAGGCTCCTGATCTTCGGTAAACTTCCGCGTAGCTCGTCCCGCCACTCGACTGTCGTAGCTTTGGTTGACTCCAAAGGGAGTAGTGCTGGGATTAATTATATGTGGTTTGTAGTATGAGGTGTGTTAAGACTGTTACTACTGTGAATGGAGTTGATCCTTTCGCCAGTTAGTCCTCCGGTATCGTCGACAAGAGAAAAAAGATAGTAATAATAATAATGCCATTAATAGATATAATTAGTGAAGTTATTCAGACTAAGAGACAGAAACGGAAATAGGAAAGCGTAACGACAGCCAGCTGATTAAATTTGGAGATTATATATATATATATATATATATATATATATATATATATATATATATATAACGGTAATAATAATAATATTAATAAGTTGTCAGGAGAGTAAGACGGGAGAGTTACAAAAATGTATAATATCTGTTTTTCCAAGGTCGGACGTTCTAAAGTCGTTAACACTTTCTGCTTCTGAGTCTTGGTATCACTCTTTACGCTGTACGTGCCTTGTCCTGTTTCGTTTCCTTTCAAAAATGGAATGAAGTTATTATTCAAAGTGAGGACCCACAGTTGGTTACCCACTACAGCTATTCTAACAGACCAACTCCCAGTCTTAATTGTCATGGTACCTGAGCAGATACTACGCAAGAATTCTCAGGAGACACTGTCATCAGTTGTCGTGGTAGTGGGATTACCCATTTAGGACTGCATGCAACTTCCGTTGAATGTAGCAAGCAGCAACTGAAGAGTCCTTTTTGAGGACTTAGAAGTTTCTAGCACATATGAGGCATGTGTGACAGAACAGGCCACTTCAGAGTCTACTAACATCACACATTTTCAGCTGCCAGTATACTCTATAGTTTTGAGGAAGGAGCTGTTGCTGGTTAAATTATTAGTAGAGAAAACTTTTTTATCGACTTGTGACTTATCTGTAGTGTGTCAACAGGCACTGAGGAAATCATCTAACTGGTTTGCAATAGTAACAGTCATTCTTTGTAACACCTAGCTAGTGTGAACGTTCCTTCGTTTATCGTGAAGGCTCCCAAGTGTATTTTCATGCTTCCGCTTTTCCCTGACTGTATCCATTAGGTCTTTTCAATGCATCGATTTGAGGCATTGGTGGGAGTATGCCTACTCTCAGAGTACGCAAAAGGGCACTCAATATCATATGTACATGATCCAAACTCCCCACACAAATTTCCAGAGATCGTCAGACACAATCAATGGAAAATACACTTGAGTGAAGGACGTTCATTAGGTTGATGTATTGACTCATCTCGTTTGTTCCTGAGTCAGAATAATCACTGACCTTAAGTTTACATGTCGTGGGGCGAGCACAAGATGTCAGAGGCTGCTTTAATTGTAAGTCTCGTGCCGTGGATGCAGCCAGCTAATCAACGTCCTGGTTGGATGATATCTGCTACTTCTTTGCTACTTCAATGAATCCAGACGTAGATACTGGAAGTTCTTTCCTTGGTGTATTCGCCATTTATATAGTGACGATAGTCAAAAAATTATCTGAAGTAACCAATCCTACTGAAGATGGCTGAGAAAGAAGGAACCTACCGGTTGACCACCCGTCGCGTTCTCTTTAAACATTAATCCATAGACACCATGCACCTACCCGAAATCAGACAAGTACACAGTTTGAGCTTATGAAAACCACCTGGCTTGTCTCAGCTTACAACGGTCAATAAAACATCAATACAAGAATTAACAGATCAAGCTGTAAAGAGATTCGAAAAAACAATACTCAACGGCAATCAGACCACAAAGAGATGATTACTGAACACCAAATAGAATGCTTACGCACCGTGTGCTAAACTTCAATGAAAGTCCACTAATGTGGCAAAGTAAAAGTCCCAAAAGTATGATAAAATAAATTATATATGAAGGAGATCTAAAGTAAATAAGCAGGCTTAAAAGATTATGAAGGTAAGTTTTGACTAAAACACGTTCAAAAGTAAACACCATTTAGTCCCAAATCATAGTTCAGCGTCAGGAAACACTGCAGGTTAACTTAGCAGCACAAATCAAGAAAACGAAATGAAGCGGACAAACGTTACTGAATAAATCTAACAAGTTGAGAACAAGTAAATAATATTTGCGAATGGAGATGTAGAGCACGCGTAATAAGAACTCTTTAAGAAACAAGAATTGTGATTAGTGTGTGATAGGAAGAGAATACTATCTTCCTTGCTCACTGGCCTTGGGCCGCGTTCATTGTCTTCATCTCTGTCACACTATAGTGTATGTACGCATGAGCCACTTCATTAAATATTAGCCGATAACTAACTGTGTGATGAAAGCTGGCTGTGAGTATGGATAATATCTCACATATTTAGTAGCATAGTAAATAGCCTCCTGGAATATGGCCAATGCCCCATGTTTCATTGTCGTGACATGACATGTTGATCTTCACTTGAGACCCCAGTCAACAATTATTACATGAGCGCAACACACTTTTCCATGTTAGAATAACGCAATAACTCAAGCACTCGTATGAGTACTATTAGCTATGGTTTCAAAAACTTGCTCACGATGAGCAAAAGTAATTAATTAACATCGACCTCAACGTACCTAATGTACAATGAAATTTGAAATAATTATATGAAAATGTCAACTGAAAATGAATGCTGGACTGAACCTTACGATAGTTGAGTGATAAATATTAACAAAAAATCAAAAAGGATTAAAGCTCTCCTGGTTACTTCCTATTCTGCGAATGTATCTGTTATTTACGACCCCTGTGATAGATTCAGCCTGTGAGCTTTCAATAAATTGTTTGGAGCTACCTTCCAGAAAGTGTGACCAGGATTACTGCTGCTGTTGGATTGGTAGTAGAAACTGTGTCATTGTAGCATGGAGAACATTGGGTGGTTATTTAGAGCAAGAAGAGGCTGCGTCAGAAAAGGTGACGTAGGGCTCATCACTTCTAGGAAGTTGGTTGGCTACCCTGCTGGAACGAATTCGAGCTGGTTACCAATCAGCTTAAACTAAAGATTTGTCCTTTTGGACCTGAGCTTAAGCCATACTACCTGCTGACTCCCTAGTCTGAGGCAAATAGCTATCCTTACCACCACTCCAACTAGCGAAAGGGGAATAAAACTCGTGGCTGATCGGTAGTGTATTTACTGGCGATGATAGGAATGGATTATAGAGGCACACAATCACAACAAAAAGCCGGTTTTATCCCTTGAGAATTATATTGACCGCCATGTCTTTCAGTCTGCACAGATAAACAATTTGATCGTCGACAGCGAAACGGCTGAGGTTCAACTGACTTGACGAACTTTTCTGATCCTCTTCAGATATGCGTTTGTGAATGAGGTATAACAGGTCGACGAAGACTTCGGAAATTAATTGATTATTGTTTTCTCAGTTTCATTAAAACAAAATATTCACAGACAAGGAACAGCACTCATTTGTAACCTCCACAATTTTGGCCTTCAAAGGAGACTGGAGAAGTTCCATCTCAAACTGGATGAAGGGTAAACTGCGAATTGGCTTGTGAGTCGTATACTTCAGTTGTTGTTTACTACTATAAACTTAAACTAACCGTTGGTATGTAACACTATAAAACTCAAT